GATCACTTATGATCGTCCTTAACTCATGGCATGGGCACTGCTCCTCCAGCTTGGCGCAGCTGAACCCACAATTCACCGAGTAGGGAAAGCTTCGGCTGGCGTCACTGCTGCTCACCTCCTCCATACGTCTAAAATACCGACAGATAAAGCCGTCTGCAGAAAGACGAGAGTGCAGAAAGAATATTTTCTTAACCTTAGCAGCCGCCCTGAAACAAGCCCACTACCCACTACATACACTCTAGAGGAAATAAACGTGGAACTGTTGGCCACAAAAAACAAGAAGGCTGCTGTTGTGGATGAAATTTTCCTGAGATTTCTTAAGAACTTGGATCCAAAGGGCCGAGAGTGGCTGGCCTCTCTTTTCACGGCAATCCATACAACTGGAAAAATTCCGTCCATCTGGCTGCATGCCAAATTTGTCGCTCTCCTAAATTCAGGAAAACCTCCAGAGACCGTACATTACAGCCCTATCGCTTTATACATACCTATTTCCTATCTCTTGACCAGGAAAATAATGGAGTGAACTTTGTTAACCCGGCTTTCTCCTGTAATTGAAGCAGCCTTTCCAGTGTAGTAGCCTGACTTTAAGCCTGGACGCAGTTGTTGCGAGCAACTGTTTCTGCATACTAGCTTCATAGAGGCAAGATTCCAACGGAAACATAAAACAGTGGTAGTTTTGGTCGATCTATCATTGGCTAATGATATGGTCTGGCGTGATGATCCCATTGCAAAGTTTCTGGAATAATCAGGTGCCAAAAGACTCTTCGCCTTATTGCAGCTATGATTAGTGACCATCGGCACCGGGTCCACATCGATGGGTAGGTGAGTAAGGAAAGGATCCTTAACAACGGGCTCCTGCAAGGTGCAGTGCTTTCTCCATCGTTGTTTGGCATCTATATTAGTGACTTCGCACTAACAAAATCGAAGAAGTTCATTTATGCGGATGATACCGCACTTGCAACCGAACACACCGACTTGCAGATACTAGGCTGCATACTCACGTCTGACCTCTCTATTATGACATAACATTTTTACCAATGGAAGCTATACCCGAACCAGACGAAGACTTGCGCGACAATTTTCCATCTGCACAATCGACTGTTCAAAGAGAAACTCACAGTTGAGTTTTGTGGTCAACACGTGCAGCACATATGATGCCAAAATATCTAGGTGTCACTTTTGATCCAACCCTATCATTTAAACCACATCTGGAAAAGACACAGCGGAAGATCAAGACGAGAATAAACTTGTTAGTAAAACTTGCCGACTCCTCTTGGGGAGCAGCTGCCCGCATGCTGCATACCACGGCCCTGGCGCATTTGTATTCTGTCGCGGAGTATTGTTCCCCTGTTTGGTGCCACAGCTGCCACGAGTAAATTAAACATGCAGCTCAATGAAGCTATACGAAGAATAGCAGGAACCCTGAAGCCAACCCAAACACAGTCGTTACCGATTCTGGCGCAAACTGAACCTCCTCATCTCCGGAGGGCGATCAGGAGTATCGTATTTTCCAGAACAATTTTAATAATCGCCAGTTACCCATTCATCGTGTTCTCCAACTTCCACCATATCGATGCCTGAAATCACGCCACCCATTATGGGAACGAGTAATGACATGACGTCTGAGTCTCGAGGAATGGTGCCGAGCAGAGTGGGATGCTACAGCTGTCAATAGCAAAAACCTTATCTCCAATCCGACCACAGAACCCCCCCTCGGCATGGACTTGAATCGCCATGGCTGGTCGAGATCAAACAGGATTCGAAAGGTACAAGGATGCTGCAGACACATATTCCATCGCAGAAAGATTAAATCCAGCCCGCAATGTGACTGCGATCATGATGATCAGACCATGCAGCAGATTATTTCCGAATGCCCGCTGTTAAAGTTCGACGTAATGTAACTGATGCTACCGCGACAGTGACGCACTAGCTTAGAAATCTTGACATTGAACTATAAAGTTGCTAGTAATCTCCTCCAGCCATTAGACAGAAGAAGAACTGCAAAAATCTCACGCTTTATAAAACTTATGCCAACATGTTATATCAGAGGTTTCCACAAAGCTAACTTTGAGCATTCTGCCTTTCAAGAATGATAAGCCAGTTGCACATGAAAATAATCCAGGTATTATGAGTTTAGCAGGTTTCTTGCCTCAATACCGCCCGTAAGAGTAGCAATATATAAACCTACATGTAATAAAAAACTTGTAATTTGCTTGCAAATCGAAAATATCATCGGTATTTTTATGTACACATATGCTAATTGATAAGACATATTTGGCTCATCGTGCGTTATATTATT